TTCCCTGCGTTTCTTCTCAGAACTTCCTCCTGGCTCTGTGCTCAGTGATCACTCTGGGTAGTGCTTGGAGGACCATATGGGGGGCTGGGGATTGAACCAGGGGCAGTCTTGTGCAAGGCAAGCACCCTACTGGCTGTACTATCTCTCTGGTCTTGGTACTGTCTGTCTCCAAATATGGAGTGGTTTGATGGAGCTATAAATTTGGCTAGTTTGATGTTAACAACTAAACATGTTGAACAGGGAAAAACGAGACACACTTTTTTTTTTGAATAAACAGATCTGGTCTATGGTCTATAAATTTTGTTAGACATTTTTGAATGCCTCCTCCCGTCCCTCAGCTGGTAACAGTTTTCACAAATGTTTCATATATATATATATATTGTTTTTTTTCCTCCCCTTGTAATAAGTAGTAGGTAAGTCCTCGTGGTCATCTATGAGAACGCTATTCGGGTCTCCCAAAGAGGAATTGAAAGAGCTATGCTTGGAATATCACGTTTCACTCAAATGAGAGAAAGAATCCGGAGTTCTGACCTCCGTCGACGATCAAGAATCAGGGACACTGTCTCGTTTGCCAAGGTGTCAAAAATCAGATGGGCTGGTCACGTAATGAGATTTAAAGACAACCGCTGGACTAGAGCTGTTACGACTGGATTCCACGGGATGTCAAAAGACCACGTGGCCACCCACCTACCAGCTGGTCAGACTTCTTAATCAAGATCATGAACGATCGGTTTGAGGCTCTTCGTGTTCCTAGAGCGAACAGACGCCATTGGGCTACACTAGCACGCGACAGGGACAAATGAAGACGTTACTGGCGCCTGCTCGAGCAAATTGACGATTAACGGGAAGTCAAGTGATCAAGTGATCAAGTCCTCGTGGTCATCTATGTTGTCTGCCCTGATGATCAGTCTATCCCCATATGGCTATATTTCTTGCAAGTGCTCTACAAATGAGCATCACTTTTCCTGTGAGGATACCAGGGGTATTTCACACCACCTCATTCCCTTAATAAAATAGTTCTGAGGAACAGTTTAGGACCATCTGCAAAGTTTACAGACTTACAGACCACCTCAAAACCAAACTCACTGTCACTGTCCTCCCGTTGTTCTTCGAGTTGCTCAAATGGGCCCCGTAACATTGTGAAACTTGCTGTTACTGTTTTTGGCATATCAAATACGTCATGGGTAGCTTGCCAGGCTTTGGCGTGCAGGCGAGATACTCTCATAGTTTGCTGGTCTCTAAGAGAGGGGTTAGCTGGGTCAGTCCCATTCAAGGCAAATGCCTTACCTGCTCTGCTATTGCTTCAACCCTTGCTTCTCGGCCTTTTGGCTAAGATCGAGTGTAGTAAAACCAAACTCATTTTTTAAAAATGTAGGAGTACTGCTTTTTATTCAGCCATTGATTATGCTGGTTGAATTGGCCATGAACTTCACATTACCTTCTTAAACAATTTTTTAAAAAATTTTTAATGGGATATCTGTGAGATAGACCATTACAAATTCATTCATTCATTCATCATCCTGTTATTCGTCGATTGCCTCAAGCAGGCCCCAGTAAGTCTCGTTCATCCTAGCCCTGAGATTATATTCAAGGCTCTTTAGGAGAATGAGACCCATCATTGTTACTGGTATTTGGCATATTTGGTACGCCACGGGGAGTTTGCCAGACTCTGCCCTGTGGGCAGGCTACATTCGATAGCCTGCAAGTTTGTCCAAAGTAGGAATGAGATAAGAAGATGTCATAAAAAGATGTCTTGATAAGATGTAGCACCGCTGCGGGGCCGGGAGCTGGATTTTATAGTCTCTGAGTTTTGGCCGCTGATGGGATTACACGGCGCCAGGGGGCCAGGTGGTGGGTGTGACCCCCGCCTACTGGAATTTGGAGGATCTGGGTGGAGGATGCTCAACTCCGATCCGAGTAGGCTTGGAGATCTTGGCCCCGGAACCCGCGTGGCTTTGTCCCTCTGCCAGTACCTTCATGAGTGCGGAGAGTGGTCTCGGCATGGTGGTGGCTGGTCCTGGAGGTCTTCCGCTGCCGGAGCCCTGGTCGGGGTGGAGAGGAAAGCTCAACCCGCTCCCCTCCAAGGGACCCCAGCGAGGAACAGCCAGGCGCAGGGGCAGGAGACCATTACAGAACTGTTCATAATTGGGTTTCAGTCATACAATGATCCAGCACCCATCCCTCCACCAGTGTGTACATTTCCCACGACCAATGTCCCCTGGTTTCCCCACCACCATCCCCCAACACCTCCCCCACCCCCCCAGCCTCCCTCTATGAGAGGCACTTTCCTTCTTGCTTGCTCTCTCTCCTTTTCCTTTTGTGCATTATGGTCAAAAACCAAATTCCTAAAACACCCTGCATTAATAGTTATTTTCTCTGGGCGGGGGAAGGCTGGGAGCTTAGGTCACACCTGGCAGTCCTCTGGGGTCACCCCTGCCCCTTCAGAGAGCCCCCAATCCTCCCTTTTCCTTGCAAGAAGTTCAATTTGCAATTCTTTGAAAGGCACCGCTTGGCTCAAGTTTGTATCTTGAAGTGCCCGGGAACAACTACCTTTTATCATGATAATGGCAGAGGTGGGGATGGACACACCCTTTGTTGATGTCACAGAGCAAACCCGCCACTGAAAACTTCTGGGTTCTTGGGGATGGCGAGTAAACAAGGCTTATCATCTGCTTTTCTTCTCTGACATGTCTTCCTTGCATTTCAGTGGGCCTGATCTGTGCTCATGCGCACAAATTTATCCAATCAGGAAATGAACAGGTTCCCTGGCGTCACATTAAGCCATAAGACGTTTGAGAGCCCCAGGTTGGAGATAACAGATTTGCAGGCACCCTGTTGGTTAACTGTGTCACGTGGGAGCTGCTCCCACACCCATCCCCTCTTAGCAGCCATTATTTGCCATGCTCTTAGTGGAGTTGTTTGACCCCAGGAGTAGTTCTGTCCACTCACAGAACATTGCGCCCAGCCTTAAAGAAACTCTTGCAGGTTTGTTTTGATGGAATGATTTAAGTAAACCAGGTAAATGCTTGCAGTGGCCAGATAATGTAAATGAGAAAAGCAAACAGCAGAGTCCTGGAGAGAGGGGAACCCCCACCTCGGGGCTGTCTCTCCCCAGAGCGGTGGCCACCAGGCTGGCTGGTGTGTTCTGTGCTTTTGGAACAATTGGCCCCGTGTTTTTACAGCTGAATTTTCAAGAGGTGCCAGTCATGGAGGGGGGTGGGGCGGGAGGAGGCAGACTTTCCACGCAATTCTTTCATTTAAAAATGTTGTGGAGTTCATGACCAATTCAATAAGCCCAATCAGTGCCTGAATAAATAGCAGAACTCCTACATTTAGAAAAAATGTTGGTAACTGATCTTAAGTTTGCACAAGGCATTTTGCAGCCCATTGCTGAGAATCAAGCCAAATTTCTAGGAAGTTCCACCACATGAAATAACTCCTCTGTGGCAGCTGCTTTTTTTTTTTTTTTTTTTGCTTTTGGGTCACATCTGGTGATGCACAGGGGTTAATCCTGGTTCATACACTCAGGAATTACTCTTGGTGGTGCTCAGGGGACCATGTGGGATGTTGGGATTCGAACCTGGGTCGGCCGCGTGCAAGGTAAATGCCCTACCCACTGTGCTATCGCTCCAGCCCCATGTTTGGTTTTTTATATAGGAACCTACATTTCCTAATAAACAGAGCCTCCAGATAAAGCCACTGCCTCTGAATTCTCTTGCTCCTGGTTCAGCCTCTGTCAAGGTGGCCTTGGGCAATTCACCTTCTTTATCAGAAGTTCAGCTTTGGCACCCTAGGGTGGCCAGGGCAGTCAGAACCAGGCTTCAGCCGTTACTTGGGGCCTTCTCCCGTCCTTGGTGGAAAGTGAGATTGCTCTTTCCCTTTGGAATCAGGGGGGCAGGCAAACATCCTGCAAAGAATTTCCTGTTCCCAGACCCCTCAATCCATCCCACCACCAAAACATTTGAAAGTTGTCTCCATGCTGACGCAGGCTGGGGCAGGAGTCCGGAGGTTATCATGATGTGCTCTACTTGGAAAGCCACAGCCCTGGCCCTGGGACCCTCCTTCCTCTCCTCTGCACATCATCCCCCCCACCCTTCCAGCCCCCCAAACAGGAAGGGCGTTTGCTGTCCTCCAGGGTTTCCACCGGAAAACCAACTGCCCAACAGGACTGACCGGGTACTTTCCTCTCCTGGCCTCTGGCATCCCGCCACTGTCTAGGAAAGTTCTTTCTTGCATCCATCCTGAGTTCGGACTCTTTCCTTTCCCCTCCTCTCTGGGGGTTCGGTTCAAAATTGGCCAAATAGACAAAACAGAGGAAGCTCCAGTGGCCTCTCCACAGGACGGGGCTCAGCCTCTGGGAAATCCTGCAGACCCCACCAGGCCCGCGGCGGATGCCCCCCCCTCCACCCCCGGGTGGCTGCAGCGCTCGCCCGCAGACCCCCAGGCCCGTGGTGTACGACCCCTCGAGTGGCTGCAGAGCTCGCCCGCCAGGACAACCTGCAGACCCCCAGGCCCGCGGCGGACCCCCCTTCGGGTGGCTGCAGAGCTCGCCGTCCAGGACAACCTGCAGACCCCCAGGCCCGCGGCGGACGCCCCCTCGGGTGGCTGCAGAGCTCGCCCTCCAGGACAACCTGCAGACCCCCAGGCCCTTGGCGGACGCCCCCTCGGGTGGCTGCAGAGCTCGCCCTCCAGGACAACCTGCAGACCCCCAGGCCCTTGGCGGACGCCCCCTCGGGTGGCTGCAGAGCTCGCCCGCTGGGACCCGCGGGGGCGTCCGCCTGCAGACCCCGCCAGGAGGGGGCGGCGGGGAACGTGCCCGGGCAGGTGGCGGCGCGGGGCATCCCGGCGGGTCGGGGTGCGCACGGCGGCGGCGGCGGCGGCGGCGGGGGCGGGGGCGGGCGCAGGGGCGGGCCCGGCTCGGGTTTCGCGGGCGTCACCGGGAAGTCCCCTTAAGAGGCGCGCGCGGGCTCCGGGGCGCGCCTTTCGCTCGCTTGTTGCAGTCCGCGCAGCTCGCGTCCCGCCCGGTGGCCCCAGCCCGGTCGCCCCAGTCCCGCGCCAGGTGCTCGGATTCAGGGGGACCGCGCTCCCTGGGGGTCTTGCAGCCGAGGGTCCCGCCGCTGCGTGGGGACATGCCTGGAAAGAAGGCGCGTAAGAGCGCGCAGCCGAGCCCGCCGCGGCCTCCGGCAGGTAGGGAGTGACGGGCACCCCGGGGGGCGCCCGGGGGTCTGCCCCCAGCCCTGGGGCACTTCGGGCTCGGGTTCGGGCCGGGGACCTGGGCGAGCCCTGGACGGTGTTTTTGGCCTGCCGGGACGGCGTGGGAGGCACCCGGGGGATGCTGCTACCTCGCGGGGCGTGCAGACGCTGCCCGACGCCGGCCTTCCAGCCCCCGGGCCAGCGAGGAAAAAGTGCAAGTGCAGGTGACAGCCGCGGGGAGAAAGTACCTGTCACGGCTGGTGGAGACGGGAGAGCCGCCTGGCCTGGCCTCCCAGCGCTCCCTCGGACAGACGGACAGATAGACGGAGAGACAGAAATCCTCTTCCTCCCGATGGCAGTGGGGGTAGGGGGCGAACCTGAGCGGGCCCTAATCCTGTTACCAAGCCCCAAACTCCCAACACCAACAAAAGCAACTATAACGCCCCGCACCGCAGCCCTAGCTCATGCACAAAGCTTTCCCGCCCCCCCCCATCCCCCATGGTCTGTTTAGGGGAGCCCCGTCGTGCATTCAGGAACCTAGAAAGTCCAACTTCTGTGTCCAGTGACCGTCGTGCGCAGAGGAGTCTAGAAGTTGCCCGTCCCCTGCCCGTTTTAAAGTCTGCCCCTTCCCATCAGCAAGACTTGAATCAAATACGTTTCCAAGCCCACCCCTCTTTCCGTTGTCCCCTTTAGATATCTTACCCGGGAGCCCCCGGGGCGGGGCCCCACCGTGGTTACATCAGTCGCCGCCAGCCGGTGTCCGCACAGACTCAGTTAGGGGCGCCCTGCACGTGATTTTGCAGGAGTTTCCCGGGCGTACCCCGCTGCTCTAGGCCCTTGCTTGGAGGAGAAACCCCCCTGAACACCTTTTGTGATCTTGAACTCTAACCAGCCTTGAACTCTAACCAAGTTGGTTCCCAGTAACAAGGGCCCTTCAAGATGAGAAGTTTAGTCCTCTCATTTTTTTTTCATTTTGAAGTAGTTATAAATGATGTAACTTTTGCACGAGTTTTAACATAGGCTGAAATGTTGTGGAGGGGAAACAGTATTTCAGGCAATGTCCTTCACGTCACATAATTTCAGAGGGCTTTTATCAACACATTTATAGACATGTAACGAAAGATAAACAGTCCAGGAGCCTTCTCCTGCACCCCTTCATTGTAAGAGAGGCATTTTTACTTTTTATAATCCGGGCCTCCAACATTAGAATACTTTTTTTTTTAAGGACAATTTGGTAATGTAGGTCTCTTGTCAGGGATGATGAAAAATTTCACCACATTTTAATAGAGGGAGACATTATAGTTTAAAAAATCTGTTTTGCTGTATTCTTCCAATTTTGGTATATACTTCCATTTTTAATTTTTTTCGCCTAAATAGAGCTTTTGCAGGACTGTTCACCAAAAAACCCATTTTAGTTTGTAATCATAATAATTTGTGGGTTTTGGCATTGCCAAGGGTAGAATCCCAGGGCCTCCCAGATGCAAGGCAAGCATTATTCCACAGGGCTACATCCCTGGCCTTCCCAGGATTTGTAATTTTTTACATCATGCTCCAAAATTGGACAGAAGAGACCCAGAATAGCACTTTAAAATATCCAAGGAAGTAGAAATAAATGGGCAGTCTAGATGTAGGTGTTAATTTTATTTTCATGAAACTTTACTTAGAAATTAGATGAAGAATACCATTTTTCTTAGTTCTCAGTAAATTACAATATCCCAGTTCTAAAAAATATAGTAAGCATATGAATTCCATCTATTCTTTTTCACACCATAACGGCAGTAGTACAGATTAGACTTGGAGGAAGAATTTGACTCAGAATTAAAACGTACATTTAAAAAAAAATCTTAGAAGGAAAAAGATAACAAAGCAGGCCTCTGCCTTACATGCAGCCCACCTGGGGTCTATCCCCAGCACCCAGGTGGTCTCTCTTAGCCCACCAGCAGTGATCCTTGAGTGTAGAGTGAGGAGAAAGCTTTGAGCACCCCGGGGGTGGCCCACACACTCCTTTCCCCTCTCCAACTTTGTTTTAGAGAATGTTAGCTTAATTTTGGAATAAGATCTTATAACATTTTTTTTCTCTTTTTTGGTGGGGCGGGATTACATCCTAATGGGTATTTGGGAGGCAGTGGTGTTAAGGATTGAACCCAGGCTGCATGCTAAGCTTGCCCTTAGCCAGTGAGCTACCTGTAAGAACTTTTCGTCACTGTAAAATTGTAGCAGATTCTGTATGTTTTGCACAAAAAAGTGGGGTGCTACTATTCTGTGAAGTTTTAAGTCGGGTAATGTTTTGGTTTTTGTTTTGGTTTTTGTTTTGGTTTTTGTTTGGGGGCCACACCTGACTCAGGATGTACTCAAGGCTCTGCCTGCGCTCAGGGTTAGCTTCTGACAGTGTTTTGGGGATCATGTGTGGTGCTGGGAACTGAACCAGGGTCAGCAGCATGCAAGGCAAGCCTTTGCCTTAAAACCCTGTACTACCTCTTCATCTTCGGAACTGTTTATTTTCAAAGCTTCCCGTAAGAGTACTAGTGGGGAGAGAAACAAACAAACAAACAAAAGAGCAAAAATATTGACGACACGGAGTGTGATTATTAAGTGGTGAAATATAGAGGAGCATCTTCCCGGCCGGAACCCGGTCCTGGGGGGTGCAGTTTGGTTATTGCTCGCTTCATGCTGTTGTTTGCCTTCCTTTGCAGAGCCGGAAATGGAGTGTGCCATGCAGATCCGGAGAATTGGCGACAAACTGAATTTCCGGCAGAAGATCCTCAACCTCATAGCCAAACTCTTCCACTCGGGAACCTGAGCACCGATGCTTCCCACGGGCGTGGCTCCTCTCAGCGGGCTCCTTCCCCTGGGAGGTGCACATCCAAGCAGGGATTGATGACCTTGTCAAGGAGAAAAATGAGAAAGCGCGCTGCATGGCTGTCCTGGGAGAATGAAACCGGAATTCCTCAAATATGAATTTCTGCAAGAGAGTCCCCAGAAATACTTCTTTGGGACGGAAGAACATGATGCAATCACTTCATTGATTCTAAAGCCAGCCTGGAAGAGGCTTCCAGCAGGAGGGATTGATGATTTATAACTTTGTTTTTGTTTAGAGAATAAATTCTAGTGTTTTTTGCAGCTGAGTGATGCCCAGGCTCAGAGTGGAAGAGCTGAGTGCAGAGCAGGTCGGGTGTGGGTGCGGGGGGGCCAAGGGCAGAATCTGTTCTGTGCTTGTTGCTACTTTTGATTGACAACTCCAGCATAAGGTGAAATGTTTGGTTTATATACACATTAGCTTGTTAAATGTAAACAAGATCTTTTTTTTTTTCTGAGAACACTGGGTCTCAGGCTGAATGTTGATATCACGGGTCACTACAAAACAAAGATTGGAGAGTTTGTTTCTTTTCACTCAAACTATCTTGAAAAGTGTGTCCTTTGGGGGGAAAAATTGACTAGAAGGAGTACGTCTGTTAATGTCAGTAAGAGTCTTCCAGTTTGAATGTTGAAAGATAGAGCCTGGGGATTTTGTTTTAACTGGTAATAATGGGAAAACAGTGAGTGAGAACTTTTACTGCTGTAATCAAAACTTAGACAAACTCTGTTATTATCAAGAAACTGTTGATAAGAAATGAGTGTTTCAAAATGTTTTTAATAACTGTAAGATATCTTTTCTTGTGATAATCACCTGTAAGAAAGGATCTTTTAAGAGGAGTAAGCATGTGTTTATAATTGGGATTTAACTTTTGTTAAGGAAAGGGAAAGATGACTATCCAGAATAAAATTTTATTGACTCACATTAGTATTCACAATTTAGTTTGCATTAGAAGAATCTCCTTTTATTACAAAAAGGCCAGACTATCAACAAAATCCCAAAATATATGAAAAAGAAGGCTAGGACTGAATTTCTGTAGGGATAATCTTATTTATTTTTTATCTATTTATAACGATAGGGATGTGTTTTGTTTGTTTACTCCAAAATGTTTATTAGTTAAAAGTTGCATTTTCAGGTTTTAGACATAAAGTTTTTGTAACTACTTGAATCCTGCTACTAAGAATGTTTTAATATAGGCGATAGTCACTTTAGATGAAAAAAATTACCTCAGTCTCTTGTTTTTCTTCAGTGTTACTTAAGGCTTTTTAGTTTGTTTAGTTGCAATGTTTTTGGCTGGCCTAGGGGCATTTGGAGTGTGACTATTTATGGTGGGCAACTGTATTTATACATATTCATAGTAAAACTTGATACTGTAGCAGTAAACTATTAAAGTTTGCCACCACTTTTTCTCTCTGCTTGTTTTTCCTCCTGCCACCTTCACTGTGAAACACAAATATCTGAAAGGATTTCCATCAGCACTCTGACTCTCTGCTGTCCTGGGACACGGTTTAACTGGGCGAGGAAATGGCGAAAGAGAGAAATTGCATTCCAGGCCTCTAGGCAGGAGTGTGGCTGAAGGCTTTGCCCTGGGATTGGGGGAGAAGGGCTCCCGTGTGGTTTCCTTTCAGGTGACCGCAGGCTCTGTCCTTCCTCTGCCCCCACCCTCTGCCCCCTCCCCTCCCCCCTGAGAGCAAGTCTTGCTTCATGTACAGAAGTAGGTGTAGCTCAAGTGGCCTTCCGGTTTGAGTGTGGGAACCAGAAAGATACCCTCAGTTTGCCACTTTGATCTCGGAGCCACATCTGTAGCCCAACCCTGCCTGCCAGAGACCGCTGAGATCTTGGAAGGTAAAAATCTGACCCCTTCTGTGAGGAGGGAGGAAGAGCCGGGGACCCTTGGGGATGTCAGCTAGAGAAGGGAAGGGGCGTGCCATGAGAAGGCCACTTCCACCTACTGCCTGTGGGAGAGTGTATCTTCAGGAGAAATACAGTGAGGCTCAGGCACCGTCCCCAATGACCCCCAATCTTCCTATAGGAGAACTGTGTTTTCTGAGGACAATGGGTCCACATAGGTATAATGGTATAATAGTATCTAGTAACCCATGAGAAGCTACTATGACTTAATTACTTTGACTTGCATTTATATTGATAAGAAAACGTCAATAGTCTCTCTCTCTCTCTCTCTGTGTATTTGGAAGTTATAAGTTACTTTTCTTAGTCTCAAGACCCTATGTATGTGATCTGAATTTTGTTATTCAATTACGGTGGGATAGAGCATTACAAAATTGTTCATGATTGCCTTTCAGTTACACAATGTTCCAACACCCATCTCTCCACTAGTGCAATTTTCAAGCACTGGTGTCCCCAGTTTCCCTCCCATCCTTTCAAGCTACCCCCCACCCCCATCCTTCCTCTATGGTACGCCCGCACCTTTCTCTCTTTCTCTTTCTCTCATTTTAGGCATTATGGATTGCCATACAGAAGCTGAAAGATTATCATGTATATCCCTTTCTTTACCTGCTTTCAACACTCAGTTCTTGTCCAGAGTTGTGGTCCGAAGTTTCTAATTCATAAACACACACACTTGCCATAAACCCACATATGTACACAGCCCTCTGAACTCTGACTAGGGTTTTTGTTTATTTGGTCTAATGGACCACACCCAGCAATACTGCAGGGCTACTCCTGGCTCGGTGCCCAAGAATCACTCCTGCCGATGGATTGCTGACCGAGTGGTGTCCGGGATCAAACCTGGGTCTGCTGCATACAAAACAAGAACCGTAATTCCTTACTATCCTCCAGCCCCATGATTTGGGTTATTATGTTTTAATTATTTATTGTGAATTTTTCAAAAGCTAATTTAATGATACAACTTTTCATGATTGATTTTCGGGCATAAAATGTTTCTGAATCTCCATCCGTGTCACCAGTGTTAGCTTTCTTCCAGCAGTGCCAACCCCCCTCTTGCCCCCCTCTGTTCCTGGCCATGTACTTCCCACCCTGCTTCTAGGAGAGACACTTTTTATTTTTATTATTTATTTAGTTATTTATTTATTTTAGTTTTATTTATTGAATCACCATGAGAACAGTCACAGAGTCTTTCAGTTTAAGTCTCGGTCGGTCATACAATGATCAAACACCCATCCTTTCACCAGTGAACATTTTCCACCACCAAGAACCCCAGTATACCCCCCCAGCCACCCTCTCCCCCGCCTTAGGGGCAGATTTCCACTTTACTCTCTCTCTCTACGTTGATCACATTCAATATTACAACAAAAGACCCAACATTATTATTTGGAATTTTCACCAACATTCAGACCTGCCAGAAGGACATCATTAGATAATTTGTTTTCTATTGCTGATTATGAAGAGCATAGGATGTTGTGTGGCCACAATAGCGGCCACTCAATTTTGTATTTCTGATATTTTAGTAATAAGCCTAGAGGGATTATTGCCAAAAGCCCCTAGGTTCTGAGATTGGTTTGTGTGGAGAGGCACTTTTTAAAAAATACATGTTTGCGGGGCTGGAGCAATAGCACAGCGGGTAGGGCATTTGCCTTGCACATGGCCAACCCGGGTTCAATTCCCAGCATCCCATATGGTCCCCTGAGCACAGCCAGGGGTGATTCCTGGGTGCAGAGGCAGAAGTAAGCCCTGGGCATTGCCGGGTGTGACCCAAAAAGAAAAAAAAATGTTTGCAATGTAATTTACAGTATTGTTGCTGCTACAGTTTCATACACACTTTCTCATCTTTCAGCATCACTTCCTCCTCCAGGTCCTGCTCCTGCTCCTGCTCCTCCTCCTCCTCCTCCTCCTCCTCCTCCTCCTCCTCCTCCTCCTCCTCCTGCATGAACATTTTTCTCTGCCCTAGACTTTGCCCCTCATTTGGGTTTTAATAGCAGTGACTTCACCCTGCCCCAGCCACCAGCAAGAACAGCATACACGGTATAAACTTGGGTAAACTCCTCAAACCTTTGCCAGAGGGGATGACCCACTAGAAAAAGCACTAACACCTTGCGAAGAGCACAGGGGACAGGCATTATGTGCCGAGAGCAATCCTGAGGCTGAATGCTAAAGGCTGAACCATCAGGGACCCTGAGCTGGGCCCAAGAGGAGAGGCTTAAATTATCCTGCCGGACAGTTGGGTTCGAAACAAAAGAACCAGAGGGCTAAGGGGTCTAAATCCTGGCTTGCCCCATCTTCTCCCTGCCCCGGGCCCCCAACAGTTAAAATAATATCAACCAGGACAGAAAGATTTGCAAAAGGAAGTGAGCATGAAAAACAAAATCCTAACAACCACCACAAAAGCCTTTCCACAAATCATTGATGCGGAGTCATGGAAGAGATTGGGAGCGAGTGCGTGGACTTGGAAGTGATTTCTTGGAAATGAGAATTCCCGGGGCAGCTGGCTTCCTGGATGGGCCACACTGCTGCGGCCGCTGCCTATATGCAGCTGAAAATAGCTCCGTCACCTGACAAAGCACGCCCTGCTATGTAATCACCGGCATATTCTCCTGCAATGGGTCATGGTTCAGGAACAAATCTTTTGTCAATACAACCCAGGCACTAATTTAGCTTTCCTTTTAAGGACTTGGGAGAAATCAGTTTAAAGGCCCCATCAAGGCAAAACCAGCCACTTCCTATTCAGCTCCCTGGATTCAACCAATTGAGTCACACCCAACACATCATCTTTACCCAAATTGGTTCTTTTATAAAAAAAAGAAAAACAAAAACAAAACACACACACACAAAACACAAAAACAACAAGTACAAAAAAAATCCCAAAAAAACACAGAGAAATAAGAAAATTGATATTAAATTATCGGAGGGGATTTAGGGTTCCTTTATTTGGAAATCTGGGTCTTCTCTATACTCAGATTAGGAGGGGTTTGGGTTTGGGTAGACCCCAGAATGTACAAATAACCCCTTTTGGTCATGTCTGGGCTTGGGAAATGCCTTCTCTTCTCTTCCTTGCCTTTGCCGTGATGATTTCTAAACCCTTTTGAGATGTGTCCATTTCAAATTCGTAGTGGTACCCAGCTATTTTCCAAACCACAAAGCTCTTCTCTCCATAACCATTGTTGTTCTTTGCCG